AAATTTTGTACCTGTAAGAATCTTTTCAAATATATATATATATATATATATATATATTCATTCTACTTTTCTTCCTTGACACTACAATTGCTGGTATTTCTGGGGCATGATGTTCTTTCTTAATTAATGTTTCTTATATAGTATTTATATCTATGCTAGGTCTACTGGGACCATCATAGCCTAGCATATGTGTTGATTCCTTCAGATATCTGATTCTCCAGTATTCTTTTTTGTCAAGTATTTTTACTTCATTCCACAGGTTCGTTAACATCCTTTGTCATGTCTGACTCCTAATTATGGGTTTTAATGTTCCTCTAGTGTTATTTTTAAAAGCTGGATGGTTTCTCTTTTGCATTTAAAAGATTCTAAATATCTGTGGTCCACACATTGAGACAATATTCAGAAGCAGATCAACCTTATATCTTTGCTGAGTCAAGCTTCACACAGAAGAGCATGACCAAGAACGTGTGTATTTAAATGTGGTTGCGGATGTGACTACATAGGCAGAACGTCTCAGCGTTTGGATTTTAGAATTAAACAACATTTACCCCCCAGAATTTACCCCCTTGCAGTTGTAGCAAAAAATATAAATATGAAACCAGCTCACACCAAAAAGTAAGGCTAGAGGAACATCAAAAATAAAAATCTTTTTATGACTGTTGCAATAAATATTAACAATATCTTAATATGACAAATAAAAATTAGTGATGAAAAATTTGTAAACTATCCAATTTTTTATTATTTTCAGAAAAAAATTATCAAAATTTAAGACTTTTGTTTAAGAAATTAGGAAAAGATTTTGCATCTTGCAAATATATTTTACAAGTTTCCACTCATTTTTTCCAGAAGTTTTGAAATACTTTAAGGTGGAAACTTGATATTTTATGATATTTACATTTACACTAAATTTTTATTTTGTTCACTTGATCCCATTTTGATATTGACTTAACTGATAGTGTGTAAAAAACACTCCTATGTCATACCTATCCTTATTGAGAATTTTGAGTTTCGTAACCACAGAATGGGATTGCCATGTGTGTCAATATTAACATTCTTCAACCTTCTTTGTACATAATTGCTCTCACTGGTAAAATGAGGGTGAGAAGGAAGAAAACTTTCTTCAAAACCATCATTTTATGTTTTTCTGTTCAGTGGTTAACAACTACACTTTTGAAAAATTATACTGCATATTTTCCAGCTAGGTTTACCACTACTGGATGTTAGTTCTCAGCAATATTCAGTTTGATAAATTTATTCTACTTTAAAACTTTACTATCTTTTTATATTTTACATACATTCTAGATATTCTCTAAATTTAGAGATACTATTTGCTATCTGTATTTAAAATGTTCTGTGAAAAAAAGAATTAACTCGTAATTGTACTGATATCCATTAGCAACATTACTTAATGAGGGCATATACTGACATTTGATTTTTGATTTTAATTAAAGCCATGATTTTATAACTAAGATTTTTAACTTATTTGTCATTATTATGTAAAATCATATTATTAATAGTATTAAACATAGAATTACTTCAAATTTTTTAAATATTCACTTAGTATTTGATGACTGAACAGCTATTTCTGATCAGTTAGTTAAAGACATTATATGAATATTAATATATTTTATTAATATTTTTGCTACATTTATATGTATCATTATTTATCATTTAGCTTTTAAAAAAGATAAAATTTGAGCTCCTATTTAGAATTAAATAACTTTTGAAAATTGGTTAATTTACAATGAAAGAAATTTAATTTCCACTTATTTTTCCAGTATGTTTTCTTTCAAATAATGTCGGAATTGTGTTGAAGTTTTGAAAAATGACAGAAAGTAGATTAAATAATTTAGTCAGCAAAGAAAATTTAGCATTATGGGAACAATCTAAAGTTTTAGTTAAACAAGATGCAATTTCTGAATCTGACTTCAGCTATACTTCCAAATCAAAAGCATTATCAATTTCTCAAAATAAGCAAAAGAGTTTCAAAGAGAATTTGAGTCACTACAGGTATCTTCCACATGCCATCTATGGAAAGTATGGTATTATTACAGATTCTGAACATATCCATGATAAACTTTATCAAGAACTAGCAAATTTCTTAAGTAGAAGAAAAACATCAAGTTTAGAAGATATTCCCTTTGAGTTTGAAAGACCCATCAAGCAACTGAGTAGCAAACAACGTTCTCAGTCACTAGATAATGTATCAAATATTGCATCAATTCGAAAAATACTGGAAAATACAATGTGGAACCGATTAAAAGAAAATCCATATAATGAAGAAGATGATACTGTGAGAATTATTGATAATGTATTAGAAGAAGAAGAAAAAAAAGATCTATCTACATTATCATCAGATAATAAGCAGTATGAACTTCAGCCATATTCTTTTGATATTCTATCTCAACAAGGACACTCTTTGTTTCCTCAAAGATTATCTTTCATTCAAAACTCAGATATAAATATGTTAATAAATGCAGAGAAAATGGAAGAAAAAACTTACTTGGTGAAATATAAGCAAACTCTTTCTAAGAAAATTACTGAACCAATAGTAGATGATCCTTTTTTTTTTGTTCAGTATTCAGGTAACATAAATAAAATTTCCATACTAGATAAAAATTTAGAGAAAGCATCCATTTTAGATACAAAGAACAAAACCACTTTTCAAGGAACAAAATCTTCCACAGTGTTAGAAACTAGTGAAAAAAATAAAGAGAAAAGGAATTTATTTTTACACTGGGAAACAAAAAAAAATTCACATAAGATTTCTGTTGGTCAAAAAGGCTGTTCAGAATTCCATGGCCTTCAAGATGATGTGATATATTCTTCAACTAAGAATAGAAGAAAAATTACTGAACAATTAGCTAATAAAAATCTTAAATCTGTTTTAGACAAATCTGAATGTTTTTCAAGAAATGATCAAAAGCATTGTGAACAACCAAACTGGCAGTGTTCTAAAACAGATTTAAATTTTATTTCTTTTGCTGCGAATAATCATCACTGTAAAAACTCTAATATCAAACTTGTGTTGAACAATTATTCTATCATTAAAGATAGCTTTCAAGAAAAAGCAGATGTGCCAATTGGTAAGTGATGCTTTTATTTTACTGATAGAAAGTGTGTGAAAAATGTATCATATATATTTTTTATTTTACTTTCTGCAAAAGAATTTCATTCTGGATATTTTTTTAATTTTTAATAGTATTATTTAGTTTATTATATTCATTTTAAGTCTCCAGTAATTATGTATTGAATTAAGTAATTTTTTAATGTTTTCTAAAAAAATTTGAAAATTTTCCTTTGTGTACAAAATGAAATATAATTGTTTCTTATTTTTAAAATTGATCTATCAATTAAATGTTTTGCTTCCAATTATTAAAAACTTAAAAAAATTGGTTTTGATTTTTTTTTTAAATTCAAAATTCTCCTTGTTCAAACAATCAACTAGAGTTTTATTGATGTGGTAAGAAAAATCTTTCATAATAATGCATATAGTTCCAAGATAGTTAACCCAGATAAGTCTCCTCTTATTATTAGAAACCAGATTGAACTAAATATAAACTGATCTTAAAAAAAATTTCGAAGAAAAAAATTGAAGAACCAATTTTTTAAAATAAACTACATTAATGATACAGAAAGTTATGCAAATGTTTTGTTTATATTTAATTTTTGTTTGCTTACATTTCAAATTCAACATGTATAAATTTTAAATAGCTATGAAAAAGTATTTTATGCAACAATAGTAATCATTAAATAATTTTTCAGATAATAAAAAATTAAGTAAAAATGCTTAAATAAAAGTAAAATCTTGTTACCAAATATCTTTGTTCCTTATAAAATGCAGAGCTTTCAATGAATAGATGCTTTTGATTTAAGCATAACAGATCAGCATCCAGGAAAGTGAGTTTTTACAAATATTTCCAAGGCATTATAATATTGAAATAACACAAATCAGTGGCTACACATTAATTAAAAATCAAATGAAACCAGTGTCTTTTGACTGCAGGTGTTATAATTTGGCCTTTATAAAAATTGAACAGCTCTTAAAATTTCAAACAAAAAATTTCTTGAATCGAAATTCCTGGAAGATTTTTTTCTAAATTATCATTAAAATGTAGAATAATTCCAGTTCAATTTTGTATCATGACCAGTAAGAGGTTTGAGATGAAATTTTAATTAATATTTAAAAAATATAGACATAAAAAAAAATTTCTTCAAATATTTGGTAATTGATCACATAAGAAAAAAAAAAGATGCCAATCAAAACAATATTTTTTTTATTTATTGACATTCATCTCAATAAATATAATATTATTTTTGTTTAATCTTCTTGTAAATAGAATCAGAAACAAGAGGGAAATTATTTCTGTAGATAAGGTCTTTTAAAGTAAAAGTAAAAAATTAAGAGGAGTTCCTCTTAATTTTTTTAACATTTTTACTTTAAATAATCTGATCTGGAAATTAATAGGAGTATTTTTTTTTTATTTAGGCTAATTATGAAAAAAATCCATAACTCATGTTCTAAAAATGTAACAAGCTTATTTTTTTTTTGTCAAATTTTTACATAAAAACACTTTTTAAATAATTTCACTTTTATAGAAAACATGCAATATGAACATTTTTAACATGAGGTCAGTTTTTTCTGTTTTCTCTGTCTCTATAGAAATATAACCATATTTTATTTTATTCATTGACTGACAAAAACTTAATAAGAAACAAATAAAATTTATTCACCAACAAAATTTTGTTACATAATTTTTCAAACTGAGCATCATTTAAAAAGTTGTTTTAGGTTGATATCTTTTTTTTTAAATTTTCTTTCTTGTATTAATTTCAAGATTTAACATTTTTGTTATTGCATGTAAATTTTAACAATAGTTAAAATTTACATGCAATAACAAAAATATAATAGAAAAAATAATACAGAAAATATAAAAATAACAAAAAGTATAGTGTTCATAAAATTAATTCAACAATTGATTCTCCTTTTGTATATTCAGGAACACCAATAATTCAAGAGATTGGAGAAGGAGGAATGCCTACAGCTCATGGTGATGGATTGTATAAAGGTGAAGAAGATAAGCCAGCAATATTTTATGTAGATGCATCTGAACTTAAAGGAGATTTATTTGTTCAAGTTGATGGTAAGTTCTTTTTCAATTACAACAATACTGTCAAAAGTTTCTTTCAAGAATGATAAATATCAAAGGCCAATTAAAATAGAAATATACTGAGTTAGTTATAAATATTTATCTAAATATATTTTTTTCACAAGTAAAAAAAAAAATCAAATAAAGTACTAATATTTACCCACATCACTTATCCCACATCTATGTCTAAAATGAATGAAAAATCTACTTAGGAACATAAAAGAATTATATTAGGAAGCTTAAACTATTTTTTCTGCTTTCTCATTATGTGATACAACAAAGAAGAAAAGTCTCTTTTGATAGAATGACGTTCTTGCCAGTGGAACTCTCTCACATGGTGTATTCTCTTGGCCGACACTGTAACGTTTGACTGTCAAACGATCACTCCTTGACTTCTACTAAGCTCTTCTATTATAGATCACAAAACATGCTGAACACACATGCTCTATATGCCTAAATACCCTAATTTCAGTGTAAATAAAGAACAACACTGAAAGAAATAATCAGTGCACATGCTAGTCTCTGATAACATCTTCAGTTGGCCTGACATGGAAATAAACACTATATAATTACCATATTGGAACTTTTAAGAAAAAAAGTTTGTCCTAAGAGTAAAAAATCCCGCCATTGAATCTCACTACAGGTTGTGTAAAGGTCATAAACTCTAGTCAAGTTAAAAAGGTAGATAAGTGATATTAGGTGTTCCACCACTAAATTGTACATATAAAATTATTTTCTTAAGCAAATCAAGTTTAGCTATTGTGAGTTCAATCCATGGGTCAAGTAGTGCAAAAAAGTCATATACTCTCATAGGTAAAAGAACTAAGTGATAATACAAGAATTAAATATCTAAAGAGGATTCCCTGATAGAAACTATTTTTTAGCATAGACAATGGAGTAATAATAGTTTACCACAGCAGTTGAATAAAGGGTTTGGTTCAAAATTCCCAAAGGTGAATCAGCCATGACAGAATAAATCTAGAGAGAACAATGGCAAAAAACACTTGAAAATAATAGACATTAGTCTGACCAAAACAATGTATAATAATGGTACAAGATGATGGAACAAAATAATAAATATTTATTATAGTTCAAGAAAATTAAAGTAAAATATTAAAAAAAAATCTCTTAATAACCCAGATGAACATTTTTTTGTCTAATTTCTCTTAACATATCTGATGGCAAAACAAAAACACTAAAAATACAGAGACACACAGATACATCCTGGATGCATACTACAAATTACATGAGTAAATAAATATATTAATACTTATGCAAATTCCTGATTATGACTGTGCCATGGTTAAATAACTACCTGAACAAAACAAGATTAATTTTTCTATTTCTTAAAGAGTGACTGAGCCTACAAACAAATCAAATTAATTTTACCAGATATTCCTAAAAAATAAAAAGTAAAATTCTAAGCTGCTATTCTATGGTGACTGTTAGTATTATTTTTACATGATGTAAAGTAAAGGTTATAATATTTGGCCATTATTTTAATGGCCAAATGTTATAACCTTTAATTTCATAATGAATGTACAGTCTAAAGAACTCTCTATCTGACCAACTGTTGGACCAGAAAGATGCATCTTCTTAAATGAGCTCACAAGTAAGGCAACAGAGATAAAGTAGCCATTGGCCAAGTAAATATAAAAATACCAGAATTCATGGAGATTGCTGTTAATGGATGGTTTTCCATTGGTGAAATCCAATTTCATCTCAGAAAGGTCACCACAAATAACACAAAATTCTATATGGTGATAGCATCACTTTCAACAAATAAGCTAGGTTACCTCCTTCCATTTGAGAATCCAAAAATTATGAGAGACTAAACAAAACAATTATTGAAGCACATGAAAGAATGAAGCCAGAGTTGCTCAATAAATTGATGTCCACTGCTACTATAACAGAACAACTTTCAGCCTATCTATAGGAAATGTTGACAATTGTTAAATAGCTAGCATATATAGATATAGCCCTGCATAAGTTCTTGCAAGCATTGCCTAATTGCTTTGGTTACACCATCAAGGTATAAATTAACAGATGAGTTAATGCTATTAATTCATAATGCCTCTGTTTTCATCACATAACAAACCCAACCCCAAATAACCACAATATAGATATACCAGCAGTTATATTCCACACTGTTCATGTCGATATAGTGGGACATCTCCTGATAATTATAAATACAAATGATCCTTATAATAAATCCTTTTGCTATCTATGGTTTTTCTTTCTCTGCTACAGCCCTTCATTCTTGTGCATTATTGCCACTACTCTTCACTTGTCTAATATTGATTAATTTAATGCATGTTTGTTTTGAATATCAATCATAGAATATGTATTGATGTTAGACATTGTGATCAATTTAAATATACTACTCCAAAACCTGTTATTTAATTGTAAAATCTTCACATTTGCTGGAAGTGATTGTAGATGAGTCTGTCTTAAATCTGCATAAATGTGAATTTTTGATAGTTAAATTCAGATAGCTAAAGTCAAGAAGGAAATTACTGGAAAGTAATTGAAACTCACCTGAAGCGAGCTGAATGTTTAATGCTCCTCATGCCAATGACACTTCCACTGAGCTTCACTACGGCATATGACTTCACTGAATTTGATGTGTTCCTCTCGAATTTTAAACTGGGGTCATCAGGAGAGAATGTGCACCGTTTCGGGGCCTTCCTCTCAACGGTTTCAGTTGCACACTGGCCCCCCTCACTGATGTGAGGCCCCATTATAATTCTGAAAAACGGCAAACCTCGCGTTCTGAGAATGCAACGTGAACCTCATTACGCATTCACGATCAGTCATATCATGCCGTCATGTTCGCTGAAACAGTAACTATTGATTATTTCAATTAAGAAATTTCTTGAAAATAAAATGCTTGTAGATCAGAATTGTTTCTAAAGACCTAAATAATATATTGTGTATCAAAACTTGACAGAAAAATGATGTTTTATTTGAGACTTGATATTTACTGGTATACTAATGAAACAATTACAGGTCCCAATTCTATAGCAAAGTGTAACATTGATCCTGAAGCAAATGGCATCTATACTGTAACTTATGTTCCTGTTGAAGTTGGCCTCTATGATGTACAAGTAAAGTGGAATAGTAAAGAAATCCAAGGTAAGTGATAAGGAACTCTTTCTTTTCATCTTGCTTGAAATTGTGAAAATTCCAACCTTTTATCATTTTACATTTTGATGCATAAAAATTACTGATGAATAATTAAAATTTATATTTTAAATAATGGGGGAAGATGTATGACAATGTGGAAAAAGTTTTTGTGTGACATGTTTCTTCCTTTAGGGCTTCATTGGACTAAGTTTGTTGGTGTGACTTTTTCATTTAAAAATAAAATTTCTATGTGTTCTGGGTATATAATCTAGCTGATTTCATTTAGATTATTTTTGTTTTTGTTTCTACCTTGTTATTAAATATCTCACATTCTATCAAGAATGGTAAAATGTTGTAAGAACCTGGATGCAAATTTACTGTGGATTAAAGTGATTAGCGATTAAAGCACTTTCTTAAAATTTTTGTCTTACTGAATTATTTTAAGCAGCATTTTTTATATCAAAACTGTTGTCAGTTTCATCACGGTGAGCAAGTAATGTGTTGTTTTGTAAAATATCCCTTTTGTGTTTATATAATATTTTATTTAAACTTCTTGAGGTTTCTCCAATATATTCTTTCTGACAATCATTACAGGTGATAGTGTAAACTCTTCATTCAAAGTTTAGCTTATTGTTTTGTCTTTTATTGTTTTAGACATAGCTGTAACAAATTTTATGTTGAGTTTAGATAAATTCTTTTGAATTGTGGTTGTGATAGAGTTGGTGGGTAGAACAATATATGTTTTTGATTCATTGTGTTTGTCAGGAGTTGCATTTTTATTTTGGTATATTTTATGAGCCTTTTTTTGCATTGAATATGAAAATGGGGTATTGGAGGGTCTTGAAAGTATTTTCAATATATTTCTCCACTTCATGTGAATATTGATGGCTGCAAATTCTTAAGTAGAATCCAATGATAATTCTGGAGTTTATTTTGTTGTTATGTTGGGAGTAGAAATTTATTAGATCATTTTTATTAGTAAATTTTCAGTGGACACTAAGTTTATAGCTACTTTGGTATGATATATAGGAATGGTAAAGTATTGTTTTTTTCTATTTCATATGCAAATTCTGTTGTATTTCTGGCTTTGTTTAATTTATCTACAAGACCAGGTAAATAAGTATCACAGGGATATATTAATAGAGCATCATCAATATATTGGAAGTAAGTTGATGGTTTAGATGAAATATTTTGGAAAGGACCAGATTCAAGAAATTCTAAGAAAATACATGCCATTACTCTACTAACAGGCGATTGCATTGGTAATCCAAATTTTTGTTTATAAAAATTATTTAATATGAAATAGCATTGATTGGTGATGAGATGGCAGATTTTTATTATTTTAGCTATTGGCAGGGAGAGGTTTGTTTTTGATTGTGTTAGATGATTTTTAAGAGATTTAAGCATTTTTCAACCAGGATGTCGGTGTAAAGGGATTTTAAATCTAGATTGGCCATGAGTTTGTCGTGAGTCCCGATAAAAAACAAATAAAATATATAAATAAAATATAGAAACAAAAATAAAAAGAATTCAAATTAAAATAAGGCATTTGCACTTTCCTTGAAAACCCTTATCTCTTTCTTTCTCTCTCTCTCTAAACTTCTCTTTCTATACTTCTCTCAACCTATGAAAAGGCAACCCTCAAATAAAAAGAGGAAGAAGAAAAGACTGAAAAATATGAAAAAGGAAGGAATGCTGGAAAATAAAGTAACTTGACCAATCAAAAAAATTGGCGCAAAGAAACTTTTGATGTTAGCCAAAAGCAACGTTTGTGCCAAATTATCAAACCTGATCAAAAGGATCAACCTCTGGGCTAGTAGCTGAAGGGACAAAAAGAGGACAGAACAAAAGAATGCTACTGCATAGAAACCAGGCATGCATGACATGTAAAGAAACAGTTGTCATTTCCTATAGATATTTCTGCCTAGCTCAGTAGATTGACCTAATTTCTGATATTACTACTACCCCTATCAAAACAACAACAGACATTTCTTCAGACTGCTACCAATATCTGACTTATTTAACAAACTTTTTTGCTACTCATCACCTTAAAGACAATAAATAAAAATATATTATTCATTTTAAACCCTTGAGTCAGTTCGTTTTATTCTCAGAGTTTCTGATAAAATAATTATCCTATCATCTATCCACAAATTTGTCAGTGATATTTGCTTCCCTTAGTTTTTCAATGAGGTTGCCTGAATTTTTTTTATATGTGATGGATTGATTGTCCCAAAGAGAGGGGTTAAAAATTTCATTATGCTTTTCGTTAGTCTGCACTGTCTATTCCTGAAATAATGAGGCACATTGGGATGCCTGTTTTGTGGGTTTTAGGAAGAAATAATAATCTCTTTTTGTATTACAAGTTTATTAGTAAACACTGATTCTATACTTAATGAAGTTATTTACTTACATCAACTTTTCTCTTTTCTTTTAATAAATATAACAACCAAAAATGTTACCAGGAAGTCCATTTCATCCTAAAATTGTTAATGCAAGAAAAGTGCGTGTTGTTGGTGGCTGGCAACACTTCATGGATTCTGATGAACATGTTCATCTTGTTGTTGATGAGATGAAGAAGATTCCTTTTGATATTTCTGAAGCAGGTCCAGGTATGAAAAAGTAATTCTTTGAAATAAGTTTTAACTTTATAAAAGTTTTCCAATCAAGCATATTCATAAACAAAAGTAAAATTATAAATCTATTAATTACAGTGGAAAAAAATTAATCTCTTAATAGACAAAACACCATGAAGCACATAAAATCATTGTAAACTTTATTCCAATGAAAACTCATTCTAGCTTTTTTCTAGTTTTGTTACTCAGATAAAAGAAGTTGCTCAGAATCATCATGAAAAAAATGAAGTAATTTGTATGTTCTAAATGGCTTAAGAAATACTTTCAAATTCTACATCATAAAAGTTACATATTTCTATGTTTTCAAGTTTCTATATTAATGTGACTTGATTTGTAGTTTTTTGTTGAAAATAAAAGCAAGCATCATTCTTCATAACATCATTTCCATTCAATACTGTATAAGCCTGAAATAAACAACCATTTTGGCTTGCCTAAAACATAGTCTTGAAATCATTAGTTAGAAGAGCTTTTCTATTTGATATTGTTATAGTGGAACACACCTATTCTATAGTTAATAGACTCTCCCACCTATAATAAGTAGGAGTAGTAAGAGTAACGAGTCAGTTGCTCAGTGAGTTGGTCAGTCAGTCGATGTCGGATGACTGTTAGTCGGATACTAAAAGTATCAGCGACCACAACTAGATTACTGCGTCATACCTATTATATGAAGTTCCTCACATTTTGTACGTCGAACCTGTTTTAGGACTGACTTAGTACAAATACAAGCCTCCACTGTGAAATCACTCCATAACAAACTTGGTGAAGAGGATTTGAACTCATACGGAGGAAAAAATAAAAAAATTCACCCACCATAACAAATTTAGCGAAGGGATTCATATTGATACGGTGGAAGAAAAAAAAATTTGCTTGGCACATTATTTGGTGATGAAATTCGTACTCATACAGAAAAAAAAAAAATTTGCTCATAACAATTTCGGCAACAAAATCTCGGATTCACACTTAAAAAAAAAAACTGGGCAAAGTTTTTCGAAAGACAAAACATCAACTTAGTGACAAAAAAATCTGTCGTATTCTCAACTGAGAAAAGAATTTTTTTTTTTTCTCGATAAGACAGTTTGCTCAAATAGGTCACAAATTGCAAATTTAATAGACAGATGCAGTTTCAACGAGAAATGGAACAGATGCATAAGGAGTTTCAAAACAAAATTCTGGAAATAACTGAGAAGAAGAAAGAGAAAAATCTACAAAATGATTCTTTCCCAGAGAATACAATATGGAATTCAATTGAAATATTCACGTACAGTCCAGATGAAGAGATAACTTTTAAAGAGTATTATAAAAAATATACGGGCGTGTGTTATACCACTCATGGTCTGAAGGAAAGAAGGTTAGACTTCTTTTAAGCAAATTAGGAACTGCTGAGCATAACAAATTGGTAAACTACATTTTACTGAAAAAAAACTAGCGAGTTGACATTTACCGAGGCGGTATATATATTAAGTGAATTATTTAGTAAAAAGACATCTTTGTTTCACAATAGGTGGAAATGTTTGAATCTGATGAAAGATGACGAACAAGACTATATAACGTACGCAGCCAACGTGAACAAGCATTGTGAAGAATTCAAGCTAGCAGAGTTAAGCGCTGACAATTTTAAGTGCTTAGTGTTTGTTCAGGGGTTGGTATTGGAAAGAGAGGCAGAGTTGAGAAAATTAGTACTGACAAAATTAGAAAACGAACCAAGGATTATGATACAGAAGTTGGCAGAAGACTGCACAAGATATGTTAGCGTAAAGAAAGATTCGAAAAAGATAGAACAGTCTGGCATTTCACATGTAAGGAAAATACGCTACAAAAAAGAAAGTCAGTCTACTAAAAAGAATTCTAAAATTGCGGATTATCAAGCAAAAAGTGAAATACCAGAGAAAAATAAACAAAAACTCCTGAAGCCATGTTTTGCTTGCGGTGAACTTCACTGGTACAGATATTGCAATTTTAGGAATAAAAAATGTTTCAACTGTTGCACTGCAGGTCAAAAAATAAAGATAATAAAATAAGAAAATTGAAGTCCGACAGGAGGTGAACGATGGAATAACCAGAAAATTTGTTACCGTCGAAATAAGTAATAAAAAAAAAAAAAAAACTCGACACTGGTTCTGACCTATCTATCATAAATTTGCATACGTGGAAGAAGTTGGGAAACCAACTTTAATGAAGACAAATAAAATCACGAGGTCAGTGACGGGAGAAAAAATACAATTTATTGGAGAAGAATTTACAAACGTCACGTTAAATAAAAAAACGCGAAAAGCTAAACTATTTGTCATAGAAAATACCACAAACTTACTTGGTACGAATTGGATAACAGAATTCCAATTATGGGATCTACCGATAAATTCTTTCTGTTTCAAGGTTGAAAATTTAAACTACAAAGCCCAAAAATTAGTGAAGAAACTTAAGGGAACATTTTCTACTGTTTTTTTCTCCAGGTTTGGGAACGTGTACCAAGATGGAGGCAAAATTCCAACTAAAAGAAAACGCTCAGGCGGTATTCAAAAAGAAAAGGAATGTGCTGTTTGCTTCAATTGAACAAATAGATAAAGAATTGGACAGATTAGAGAAAACCAGTGTATTTAAAAAAAGTTGAATGGGTAACACCGATGATATATGTGAAAAACAAGTTCCAGAAAGTAAAGATGAAGCCGACACCGAAAAACTGGGGAGCGAGTTACGCGCAACCAAGGACATGCAGTATTATTAAATGATTTAAGTCAACTGAAGTCACCACAGAAAATGTTAAGAAGCAGAAAAGGGAAGCTAGAGGCTGAACCACATTCAATACAATTGGTCTAACAACGCCTGCAACGATTTTACCTTAGGTACACCGATCAAGGAGAAAAAAAAAGGCAACTGATCATTTAAAAGTTTGAAAAAAAACGTAGGAGATGAATTTTACGATGTTGCAAAAAAAAAAAAAAATGAATTTTTTTGTTATTTTTCTTCATATTTCCTGTAAAAATGAAAAATAAATAAAAGAAAACTGTTTACTCCTACAGAGTAAAGTTTTTTTTTTGGTGGGGGATGTTATAGTGGAACACACCTATTCTATAGTTAATAGACTCTCCCACCTATAATCAGTAGGAGTAGTAAGAGTAACGAGTCAGTCGCGGAGTCGCTCAGTGAGTTGGCCAGTCAGTCGATGTCGGACGACCTTTAGTTGGATACTAAAAGTATCAGCAACCACAACTAGATTACTGCGTCATACTTATTATATGAAGTCCCTAACGTTTTGTATGTTGAACCTGTTTTAGGACCGACTTAGTACAAATACAAGCCTCCACTGTAAAATCACTCCATAACAGATATGCATGCATGTGTAAAAATGAAAGGCCTTTGATTTTATTTTTCAGGTAAATTGACGGCAGAGGTACAAGATCCAAATAATATCTGGTTGCCTGTACACATTGATACAAGTAGTGATGGTAAAAATATACTGGCTTTTATTCCCAAAGCAGAAGGTAATTTGATAGTCATTTAAAAAAATAATTATTGTATTTACTTTTCTATGCAAGACTAATTTTTGAAAATCCAATGCTATTAAATTTTGAATTTCATTACTTTCAGTTATGTTTCAAAATAAGCTGGGTTAAGCTGGGATATTAATGGAAAAAGTCAATTCCAAAATTTACAACTTTTTGTAGGACACCCTAGATTCATCAGACCTTCAAATCCAAAAGGAAACAGAAAGTATTTTTCCAGGTTTAAATAACAAAATTTATGTAAAAGTGTATATGTGAAAGTGGGGGAAAAAGTTGGAAATAAAGAAGTGTAAGTAAAATTGAGAGAGAGGGGTGGAAAGAAAGACAGGAAAAAAGTGTATGTGAGATTGTGGAATGGAATATAATGAAATCATTAAGAAAGGAAATTTAAAAAAAAAAGTTATTTTCAGTTGAAACAACTGACTTTTGACTTGTTGACCTAATTTAATATACAGACTACAGAAAACATGGATACATCAATTCTGACAGTTAAAGACACGTGAAAGGAAATCTCTCTTGGAAATATCCATACTGATCACTAATATTATCTATCTATCTATATAAAATGTAAATTACCATTATCATACAAATAAATGGGTGACAAATTTTCCAGGCATAACAAGAATTATATATTATAATTTTTAATTTATGAACACATTTGTTTGAGGAGGCAGGTTTAAATTGGTGGCAGGAGGGGTTGAAGGAGATATATATCTCTCAAAAGGGATAAGGTGATTGAGAGAGTAGAAATTGAAAATTAGGAAAGGAAAAAAGAAAAGAGTTGTATTTACATCCATCTTAATAAAGAGACATATAACAACAGTGGTGGTGGTGGAGGGTTGTTAGACATACTGACTTATTTATCAAGTATATCCACAAAAAAAGTAGAAGAGGAACTTAGAAGCAAAAGTACAGAAAAAAGACAGAAAGGAGAAAAAAATATAGAAATTAAACAAATAATAATAATAACAACTCAAAGTTAAAAATAAACCGTAACATTGTTCTAAGAGAAAAGAAGGTGATGTAAGGAAATTTTTGAAAAAACTTTTATATAAATACACATATATATGCATGTCCATACACACACATGCATATATATATATATATATATATATATATATATATATATATATATATATATATACACACACACACACATGCATATGCATATATATATATATATATATATATATATACCATTTATTTTCAACACACATATGCATACATGTATGTGTATTTTAATTTTTCAGTAAGGATTATATTTTTTTTTTTAAATTTTGTAATAAATAAAAACTCAAGAAAATTCTATTAAAAGTTAACTAAATTAAAGAAAATACTTCCCTCCAAGATATAAATAGTAATAAAACAATAATACAAACACAAATGAGAATAACAAGAATAGTAAAGATAAAAAATAATGATAATAATAATATGATAAGATAGAATCAAATAAAGATAAAAAGCCTATATATAAAAATATTAAGCTAAGAAGGAAAGAATGCAACAGTACATTAATTAAAAACAGAGAATTAAATTGACTAAGGATATATAAACAAATTTTTAAAAAATTTTAAATTTCTGCATAATAAATCCATTCAAAAAATTTTAAATTCCCACTTAATAAATCCATCCAAATCTGAGCTAGGTCTGATTTCCAAGAATATAATTAAAAAAATAACAATATTCATACTAGAAAAATACCCTGTTAATCTTTGGAAGGATTCCTTGGATACCATTAAATGTTTCCAGTATATAACCTCCAAAAAAAAAAGCTACTTTTATTCAATTCAATATTATCAATTTCTACCTATCCATTTCTGAAAATCTATTAGAAAATAACTTAAATTTTGCCAGAAATTATGTTAATATTACTGATGACAAACAAAAGATTATAATGGCTTCTAGACAGTCCATTGGGTTAAGAATAATAATGAAAAGTTCGACATTTCCACGGGAGCTTATGACTCTGCACAAATAGCTGATTTAGTGTTTATATATATTCGATACACTAAGTAGATTCATTGACCCTAAAAGTGTAGGCTTGTACAGGGATGATAGACTCACTGTTATACCTAAAATAGCAATGGTCCCCTAAACTCCAAGTTACATAAAAAGATCATTAAAGCTTTCCAATTTCTGGGATTTAAAATGTCATCTAACCTAAAAAATTGTCAATTTCTTAGATGTTACATTCAATCTCTCTAATAATACATTCAAACCCTTCCAAAAAGAAAACCAAGCCCTCATCTACATCAATGTCTACTCAAACCACCCCAAAATCAGTTATAAACCAAATTTCCAACATCGTCAACACCAGGACAAACAAATTGTCTTCTAGCTGCAAAATATGTAATAATAATAAATCTAGCTATAATCAAGTCCTCAAGAAAAGTATGTTTCAATAAACTTTAATTTATCAAGAAAAATTGAATGACAATACATCCAATAAATCCAAAAATAAGAAAAGGAAATTTATATGGTTCAACCCACACTTCTGCAAACTATCCAATATTAATATTGGCAAATTCTTTTTAAATTTAATAGATAAGGATTTTAGTAATAACAATTCACTGAAAAAATTTTTTAATAGAAAAACTTGAAAATTAGTTATTCATCTGTGAATAATGCATAAAAAATTATAAATTCACACAATGATAGCATTATTAGAAAATTTCATAATAATCAATTACAAAATGATTCTACCTGTATAAACTGAATGTCCAGTGGGTGGAATTTATATAACCCAAAATGTGGTGTATGAAGCCACGATCTTCCCCAAAGAAAATATAAAACTTTAATTAATCTAATAAGCCCTTGAATTTAAGAGGCTTTTGCAATACTGATTGGATAAATTTCGAAGGATTTGGCACAATATCTCAGGGTGTGGTTATCAATTATTGTCAAACAGTTCTATGATTTCTTGGAAAACCAGAAAACAACCTACAGTAGCTTTGTCAACATGCAAAGTGAAATATATATATAACAGAGCACTGATCCTGTTTAAACCTTTGAATGCATGAAATTGTAGTTTGGTGATTTGAAGAGACCACTAACTGGATGATGATTGTTGAAATTCACAGGAAACTGGGTTGAATAGTTGAGAAGATTAAAAATGAAATGCATTAAAAATTATGTTTTAAAATAATAAAATGAAATCAAGAGCAGTTCCAAGGAGAATCAAACCCAAATTTAACTAGATGGAATTCAGTAAGATTGAGCAAAACTAAGACTCCCTATCATCCCCCTGCCCCTCTTACTATCTATAAGAAAGAGAGACAATTAATTTATCATTGGACGTGTTGGCCCTGGGAAAATAGAAAAAAATATGTTGTTTACAATACCTTATCAGTAAAGAAAATGGGTGGTCACAGAAAATAACATTTAAAATTATTCTGGAAAATATCTGGTTTATGTAGAAATGTTGTGTTAGCCACCCAGATAAAAATATCCTAATAAAAAAAGATTAGCACCTAAGATTATGGATGGGTTCATTTATTTTTCTTTCTGTGACTAGTAAAATTTTTTATAGCTGACATTATTTTGGGTTTTTGGAATTGAGACAAGCCAGATTTTGGCTTACAGGAGATGGAGATAGTGGAATTTGGGCATTGGGAATTGTCATTGTCTGTCATCTTTGTGTAGGTAAAGAAAGACAACAATCATTGTTATCAGGAAAGATTCTTCTATATAAAGTCAAGCACTCATTGGCTGAGAGTCATTCTTCCCTGAGCATGGAGTGAACGTCAGGCACAGGGAGATGTCTCACATCTTGGTACAGGCCCAGAATTGCTAAAGTCATCACTAAAGAGCACACCCACAATTTTTGGGCTGGTACAAAAACACAACATGCATAACAGAATTGAGAATTCATGACAGAAGAATGAGAAACATCAATGAGAAGGTCATTACTTGAGTGATTATGATTATAAATCTCTTACGACAGAAGAATTGAGAAACGTTGACAAGAAGGTCATTATCTGAGTGGTTAAAATTAGAAATTCCCATATATGACCGAAGTCACCAGAATCTCCAAATTACCACTCCTTCAGTAGTATTTTGATTTGCAGTAGCTAATAGACATATTTTTCAACCAGTTTTTCTTATATTTAATAAACCTGTTTTTAGAGTTATCAACAGATGAAAGAGACAAAAGTTTACTACAGCTATAGAAAGTGTTGTGTAATCTTTGGCAGGGAATTGTGTAATTTTTGACAAGAATTGCATGATCTTTGATGAGATTGTGTAGCTAGTACATAACATATATTAGGGGTTCACACTAGACTTTGTTGTCAATTCTAATGTAAGATTTTTGGGAAACCTGAAGCAACCCTACCGAGACGACATACTGGTCCCAACTGAGAAGGGAAAAGAAAGTGGATTAATTTTAAGGTCAGTATTATGCAACCAAACTAGTGGAGCTAGTAACTTGCAGAGGAAGAAGAAAACAAAAGATCTGTTGTCGGTAGGTGAGTTACATATATGGTATTAGCAGCCACAATATAAGAATAAAAATTTCTTACCCATTTATTAAATAGCATGACTAATTCAAATGCAAATGAATATACCACTATCTGTTGTAACAACTAAAGAATTATATCTTTAGCTAAAAATCCAGTTCAACATCAACATTCTAGGCACATTGATACAAAATACTATAAAATATAATTTTATAAAGTGCAAAACAGCACAATTAAGTTGAAAAGTATTCCCTCAGAACAAAATGTTAATTTATTTAAAAATTCCATCACCAGAGGAGAATTAAAGAAATTTTTCAATGCTCTGAATAGAGAACAACTCTGAACTTTTTACTTAGCTGTTTTTTTGCCCCATTTCTTTTTATTTATATTTTTAATCATTTCACTCTAAGCAAGGCAATAAAACTACTAACAGATAAGAGGTTACTGAGTGTGAAAGAATATAAGAAAAAGAAAACATTATTAAGGAGAGATAACAATAAAAGAGCAGGAATTAAGAAGGTAGAAGATAACAATTGACATTGCATTTAAATTTTTGAAGATTATAGTTGACTGGAAAGCAAGAAGCCAGAATAGAGTTTCATAAGCGAGAAGTGCAATAAAAACAGCTGTTAGCATAAAACTTATGGTTATATCTAGCAATTTTATCTGTAAAATGATGAGAGCCAATCTAGTACTGCACTCAAATTCATAAATTGTTACCAAAGAAGAAAGCTCATCAGAACAATTAACATGAAAATATTTATAGAAAAGGAACAAGGAAACTATGTTACAATGGTGGGAAAGTGACTTGAAAGTGACTGAGATGTCAGATCAGGACCAATAACATTGCGGATATTTCTTTGTATTTTATCAAAAATCTCTAAATACATAGCACAAGCATCAGACCAGATGTGACAGCAATATTCAATGCATGTATAAATGGTAGACTTATAAATGTGTAAGATATATTCTGTTTGGCAAGAAGAATTTTCTAGCATGACAGTGAACTAAATTTTCTAGCAGCAGACCTAGAAAGTGATTCAATATAATATTTCCACTCACGTCAGTCGAAAACATTAGCCTGTAAATGTTGGCTGTGCTACTCTGCTGTGTGACTTCTATATAAGTTTAGCAAACAGGGAAGTAAAAGGCCATTTATAATAAAACAAAACTTACATTCTGTGATGTTAAAACTATAGAACTTATTTTGAAGTTATAAAAAATTCCACTTAATATTCAAAAATGTTTTTATTACTTTTCATCTAGCTAGCAGCTAAAATATATATTAAAATGTTGATGGAGATTACAGCAACATAGAAGAAGTCTAATCATTTACCTTCTAATTAATAAAAGTTTCTCTTGTCTACAGGAAATCACTTGATTAATGTATATTGGACTGAACATCCTCTTGTTGGAGCTCCTTTTCTTGGCAATGCTGTTGTAAAATATCCAACTGCAATTCATGACAATAGTCAGGTGACATTATCAGGTAGAGGTTTGAAGGAAGCTGTAGTTCGAGAAGAAGCTGAGTTCTATATAGATGGATCCAAGGCTGGACCAGGTGAGTTAAGTAAGATTTTTGAAAATTGTAAGTAAAATAATCATTTCATATACCATATTTAATGATATGTAAGATATTTTTTCCAAAAAACAAAACAAAACAAAAAACCAAAAGCTAAATTAAAAAAAAATTGCCCTGCATCTCATATATGATGTTGAGACATTCCATAAGCTAATTTTCATTCCTAATGCACATTAACATAAACTATAATTTTATCTCAAACTGACTCTATAATATTTACACAAACAACATTCTTCTTATTATTACTATTAATATGGTACTGTAAAAGAAATTATCATAGCAAAGTAATGTCAATATTTATCAATTCCAGCTAATTGATTATGTTACATGCCTCAACACAATCCTATCATTAACCAGTTGAAAACAGTAGATGAAAGATGCCTAATTGAAATAAAAAACTGGTAATAGCAAACCTGGGAAATATAACATTAAAGCCACAGAGAATGTCTGTCATATGAAGTAGTGATTTATATTCAGCTGTACTACTAGCTTGCTTTTTATATACAATAATGTTTTCTGCTAAACTAGTACTTTTATAAATGATTGATGACCAAAGTTTGGATTTACCATTGTTTACAGACTTGGCATAAAACTTCTCTTTTCCTATCAAATATTACTTATTACTGCATTTGAAATTTGTTTTGGAATTTTTCATTGAAGGTAAACCTGAAGTGACTTTGACTGGAGTGCGTTCAGAAATTGACATCATTAAAAAACATCTTGGAAATGGTCGTTACTACTGCACGTACATACCTGTGCTTCCAGGTGGTTACTTACTACACATTACCTGGAATAATAGGCAGTTGAAAGGTTCTCCTTACAAAGTCAGTGTCATAGCAGCTGCTCAACCTCAAAAGGTTAATGTGACTGGAGAAGGGCTAGAAGGAGGAATTTTAGGCAAAGAACTTCAAGTCAATATTGATACACGAAAAGCAGGACCTGGTGAGAGAGAATTTTTTTCTAAAGAACATGTTTCATTAGAATTTTTAAAATCTGATTTTAATTATTCTGATCAAAATGTTCTGAATAATATATTTATGTTTTTGGTTAATGTTTAAAGAATACATATAACATTTTGTTATAAATGCAAATATTTTCTATAGTTACAGGATCAACCATAAATTAGAATTATTTATATTTTAGTATTCAAAAATTACTTTTAAATTTCAGGTATTTTTATTTCATATTTTCAAATGAATCTGAAATATAAGTCAATCATATATTCTGTTTATTCATAAAATTAAAACCCAAATAGATAAAAAATATTAAAATTAATATTAATTTTAAGCATTATTTATTTATATGAACATCTTTTATGATTTCAATCAGTGGTGCACACTTCAGCTTCTTTCAGTTTGCACAATTTTCATTGCAGTTGTCAATCTATTATTTTGACTTTTACAGAGTCAGTACTAGTCTTCCATGTGTCATTTGGTATGCCTGATTTCATAATTTCCTCTTAGATTATTGTTTTGCCATATTTTGTATTTAAGCAACAGCTGAATTTCCTCTTATATCCTTTACCACAACTGTATAGGATGTTAAACAAGTTATAGGTTATATTTTCTTCAGATGGTCCAAATTTTCTGATTTTCTTTCGCATATCTTGAAGTTATAAAAATGAATACTTATTTCTTTAGAGAATATCCTGTGTATGAATCCAATCATGTTTGAGTCATCACTTAAAAGCTTTGTTTAAGATAATAGTTTGTTTATATGAGGTGCATTCTAAAAATATCTAACTTTATTTTTTCCTGCCAAAACTAATGCTGTGTGATACCACCCTTCCTGTACATGCATGAAAAGTTTTGCACCAGTAGGCTGCATCAGTTCCAAGCTGTTATGCCTAGAGTACACACGTTTGATATTCACTTTCATGCAAGAAGATCAAACAGAGATATTGCACCAAGTTTTCGCATACAACTTGTTTGACAGGCTTCCTACTCCCTACTGACTTGTCCTCAAACCTGAAAACACAATTTCCATGCAGAGTTGATTCTACTGCTCAGACAGAATGTTAAAATGGTATGCACTTGCTTATTCCCACTTCATAAGCAATTTCCTAGATTGTTACATGATGGTCTTCCATGACTATTCTCGGAACTTTCTCAATCAGACATTCTAAAGAACTTCTATGTGTTTACTGTTATGAAACCTTCAACTTATGAACTCATGAATCATGGATAATTTATAGAAGACTTGAAATTATCCAACAGTATTTGCACATCCTCCTAGTGTATATATGATAAATGGATGGTTTGTCCCATATGGTGACAGTCTTATGGCCATTTCTTCCTCCAGTTGATATATGATATATTAATTGAAAACCTGTCATCATTATGTTAATATTTCTAGCAGGTTATTTCTTGAAATTCTTACAAAATTTGTCAGAAAAGGATTGGCCCCAAATGAACTCTATTTTTCCATGTTAGATATTTGCCTTATAACAAACAACCAGAAACCAGCTTATTGATTGTTGGCTGATTGATCTTATGACACATAAACCCTTGATGTTTTTTTTTAATCATTTCATCCCAAGCAAGACAATAAAGCCATGAAAACACAAGGGATTACTGATGTGAAAAAATATGAGAAAAAGAAAAACACTTTTAAGGAGAGAGAAAAAAAGAGAGAGAAGACAAATTGGTAGGGAGTAGGGAGCCTGTCGAACAAGTTTTAAGGAGAGAGAAAAGAACAGCAATTAAGACAGAAGATAGCAATTGGCATTGCATTTAAATTTTAAAAATCAAAGTTGAGAGGGAAGCAAGAAGCTAGAAGAATTCCATCAACTAGAAGTGTGAGAGAAGAATCTGTTAGCATAGAACTTAGTTGCACCTAGCTATTTCAACTGTAAAACTAGATGCCAATCTAGTATTGTTCTTAAATACATAAAGTCTAGGTACCATCTCAAAGTTCATCAGAACACTTACCATAAGTACAAGTATTTATAGAAAAGGCACAGAGGAGCTATGCTACAGCAGTGGAAAAGTAACTGAAGCCAAGATACCATGTCAGGACCAATAACATTACAGATTTTTCTTTGAATTTTATCAAGAATGTCTAAATGCATAGCAGAAGTATCAGTTCAGATGTGGCAGCAATATCCAATGCATGGACAAGTAGTAGACTTATAAATGTTGTAAGATAGATTCTGGCAAGAAAAATTGTCTAGCATGACAGTGAACCAACATTCCTAGTAATAGATCTAAAAAATGATTAATATAATCTTTTCACTTCATGTGTTATGAACTGGTAATATATATGAACACCAGGTTAAAAAAAAGAAAATATGGGATTGCTCAGATAGAAACACATAACACAGCTATCAAAGAACAGGATGAACGTTTAATAACAATTTTATGTAACAAAACAATTGAATAAGGAAAGAATATAAGATAGCAGACCTAAGATCAACAAGACACACCTATCTGATACATCATGTCACTTCAATTATCCATGAATCATGAGTTTGTAAGTTGAAGGTTTCCTAACAGCAAACACATAGACGTTCTTTAGAATGTCTGAATGAGAATTGGTAATTATTCCTTTTGCAATATAAACTGGGAGATTTCGGAATCTGTTCTACATGTAGTAATGGAAATAAATCTAAGATAAGACTGGGAAGATTTCTTCAGGAATAAAATTTTCTTATTTGTTACACATCTAGCAATTGAATAAGTCCAAGATAAGATTGGGAAGATTTTTTTGAGAATAATATTTTCTTATTCATTACTTATCTAGTAATCTAATAAGTCCACAGGTGCATTTTTAATTACTGCAGTCAATTTATTTGCAACTTGACTTAGTCAGAGATTTTCTGGAAACTGAAAATTTCAATTTACACTTGGTGTAATCATAATCCCTTGCATTGACAACAAAGCTGAATAAAGTCTGGAACTTGGAGGACAGGATTCAAACATAATAAGGCTTTGATTTGATCAAGAGATCATTGACAGGAGAGACTAATCAAACATAGCCTTTTTCTTTAATAAACACATAAGTAGTAAAGAGAAATTCTTACAAAACTTGTGGTAATAAACCACCATGTCCCAAAATCTTTGCAAACTTTTTACATTGGTTGGGCTGGATATGGTATATCTTGCATTTTTGATTTGATAGGGGTTACTCAATCATATCCAAAGATATGGCCAAGATAGCTTACTTCAGCCTGACAAAATTTACTCTTCAACTTGTTTACTGTAAAATTAGTGTGTTTGAGTAGATCAAACGCCTTCTGCTGAGAAGACACACAATCTGTCCAGGTATCACTATACACAATGATGTCGTCTATATCAACACTGAGTAGATCTCGGACATTGATTCATCAATCTAACAAATGTAACTTGGGAATTCTTCATCCCATATAGCATCACACAATATTGTCCAGTAGGAGTCACAAAGGCAGAAATTTCTTTGGCGCATTCGGGCAAAGGTGCACTACAACATCCTTTCAACAAATCACACTTGGTAATATAGGTAGATTTCCCTATCTTATCTATACACTCATCCATCCAGGGAATGGAATGTGAATCAGTCTTAGTAAGGGTGCTCACTTTACTATTTTATAAAAAAATCTAATAAAACCATCAGGCTCATTTGCTAGTATACAGGGTGATGACCAGTTGCTTTGACTAGGCTCAATGATATCATTTTCCAACATGTAAGATACCTTCTTATGTAGAACTTCAGCCTTCTGTAGATTAATAATAAGAGTGCTGCTTTACTGGGGCAGCGCTTCCCACTTCTACATCATAAGCTATAGTGGTTCAGTTTGGCAGGTCAGGGAATAGACACCTGAAGTCTGCAATAGTTCCTTTCTTGCAAATTTTGCCTTGAGGTTGTCTAGAACCTTGGAGTTATTGAGTTTAACATAGTGAGCTTGTTTCATAACAACTTCCCCTCAGTTCTCATCTGATTCAGATACAGGTATGGATGATTTGAGTCAATTTTCTGCAGTCAAGATTAGTAATAAATTTTTGTTCTTTGAATCTTCCTGTAACCAACTTTCCTTTAATAATTTCAAGGGACCATGGACTGAATGTCTGAATACTAATTCAAATGGACTGAATCATAATGATTCTTAAATAGATTCACAAGCTTCAAGCATCAAGAAAGGAATACTTTCATCCTATTCTTTTTGATGGTTCAAACAACATATCCGGATATTTTTTAGGGTGGAGTGAAATCTCTCCAAGACCCTTTGGGATTGTGGGTGATAGGCGCTAGACCATATCTAAGTTATGCCTAGTTATTGCTGAAATATTTTTGATCCAAAGTTTGACCTTTGGTTTGACTGTACAACTCTGGGTAAGCCTACAGTAGAGAAGGTGATAAGAGCTTTTACTATTTTCTGAACTGAAATATTCCTTAAGGGAATCCAGTTTAGAGATGGTAGCAAAAACAATGGGTTATTTAATGTTGAATTTTGTAGGTGGAACCTAATAAGGCTCCAATTCACTACTCAATAGTCAACCAGACTAGCTTTGTTAACCATTACCCAGCTGTGTACCTTCAGCTTAATGGGTAACAAACTAAAACTCAAGAGTTGACACTGAGATTTTTAGTGATGTATTGTAGCAGCTTAGTATAAAATGAAATTATTTGTATTTGTTTTTACTGAAATTATGATCTTCAGCATGATCAGAGACTGTTCCCATTGATGAGATTTCACTTGTTTTTTCATTTGTAATAGCTATTATTTTCAGTTTAGATTCAGATATAACATACGCCTAAAGGTTGGAGAATGTATAATTGGCCAAAGCAAAAATGAGAATGCTAATTCAAATAATTTCTGGAATAACATTAAATACATTATTTTATATATATTTGTGAATATTATTAAGAAATTAATAATATTGGGGAATAGAATTTACTAGACAGGCTTTATTTTAAACAACTTCTTTTTCTGTTGTAATTCCTCATTTTTATATGCACAGAAACAAAACATTTTCAGCAGCTATAAGAAAATTATGAATAAATCCACATAAACCAGTTGTGATGGTTGTATTTCAGGTGAACTCACTGCTCATTGCATGGGACCAACACGGATTGCTTATTGTGAGTTGACTGACAACAATGATGGAATTTACAAATTGACTATTCGACCTCAAGAACCTGGAAGGCACATTTTACAAATCAAATATGGTGGGGAGAATGTGTTAGGTAAGAATTAGAAGTTGAATAACTCATTTATTTATTAAGAAAAAAATACCACAATTAAAAAAGAATGCTATTTGAAGAACTGCTAAAATGTTTTAATTTAAAAATCTATAATCAGAAATCTAAAATGATTTACCATGTTTTCCAGAAATTGGAATTGTTTTAATGAAGATTTTAACATATTTCATGCCCACATTAAATTTATGATGATGATAGATGTTTTTGTTGTATTCACATAATGAAAAATGTTTTAGTAATTGCAACGTAATAAAAATGTCTAATACATAAATTTAGAAATGAAATTAGAAATATATTATACATATTACAAAGCTAAAAAAATTAGCTTAATTCTGTACTGAAGACTAAAAAATATACTTAAAAAATTTTTTTGTATAAGCTACCATAGAGGAATATATTGAATTTGTGTACATTGGTGAAACTAAAATTCATACTAATAAAAGATAATAATTATATCTATTTTATTCTATCAGATATATTGCATTAAAAGATAGTATTGCAGTTTTTACTTGATCTTTTAATGACGAAATTTTCTAGAATTATGAAACTCTGAGACAAAATTAAATTTTAAAGTTGTAAAATTATTTAAACAATAAAGCATACATTTATCAGCAAAACATAATATTGATGAATTTAACAAAATAAGGTGTTGAGTTAATAGTAATTTTGGTGTTTGGACTTTTAATTAGTGAATTTTATTTTTTGCCCAATTTGTTATTAATTTTGACAATATACCATAAATCATTTTTAATCTTACATATGTAATATATTGATATGTTTTAAATTGACAGAATTTAAGTTTGAATCTTAATGTACAAGAACTAATCTTCTCAATATTATATAAAAAAAGATATTGAAAAGAAACTACAATCTAAAATAATTCAATTTGTAATTAGTTTGCTATCAGTATATATATTTAAATATTATTTTTTTGTGAACTGAAATGAGCATTATGTCTACAGGTAATGGTAAGAAACCAGCATAAAATATTGATTCAGTGATCAATACTGTTGACTTTTTCTCAACCTGATTAAAACTGCAATCACATTCTACTTTGGAGATAAAGTATTTTATAAGGACAGAATTTTTTAAACTAAAGTAGACAATGAGATCTTAATTCAATAATATTATTTCTGTATTTAGGCTTTAATTATTATATTTATGTTGATCAACATAAATTTCATATTTTAATTAAGTGTTTGATTTAATTTCAAAATGAACAAGAAAGCTTTATAAATTCTCCTCCCTACATCAATTATCTTAATAACAATTGTAAATTAATCCAATATTAATTTTTAATTTGTTTTTGTAATATCTAAAAGTATATTTTTTATTTAACTATTATTTATATCTAAATTGTTTACTGAAAATCATTTACATAAACATTTCCTACACCTAACAATCTCTTTCAGTCTTTTTCTTTTTATATCGAAAATTTAATGTACACTATTTCACTGTTCCTTGTGTCTGTTGAGAAATTCTCTGGTTCTAGCACATATAGACTTTCTCTTTTTTATTTTAAAAATTAATCCAGCCCTACAATTTATTCATTTCTCTCCATTCTCCTCTTTCATTTTTATTATAAAGAGCATCTAGTCTCATATCTCTAATGATTCTTATTGCCTTTGCAGAATTAAACATATTTATTTACCTTGCAATGTATAGGTAATATAATGTTTTTGGCATTGTAGATAATTTGCCATAGAAGACATATCACAACCTTCAGTTTCTGCTGCTATTTGACAATCTTTATGACTTTAGTAGATTTTCATGTAATTTCTTTATCTGCAAGAAAAACAAACTGACACAGTATAATTTAATAAAAGTGTTAATGAAATGATTTCTCTGAGCCTCCTCAAGTACATTTTGTGATTTGAATGAAGAATATAATGACCAGAGTATTACACTGAGAGTGACCGATTATCCAGGCTGTATCATCATTGAAATTCACTTCCACTGAAGCTTTCTTCATATATTGTTGTTATCAAAGCAATGATATATGGCTATCTACAATATCTGTGTTGAACAGCTGGAATACATGCTTTTTACAAAGTAACACATTTACTCTCCAAATTTGAACATTTTTACTTTGTTTAAATACAGCTTTATAGCCATCCAAGTATAGTAGTAATTAAGCTATGTTTCACTAGCACCACAATTTGCCAATTCAGCAACTTAAGACTTACAGGACCAGTGTTACAGGAGTTTTCAGGTGCTTCATAATGTTCATGTTGGAATATCTCGTTTTCGTTTTGTCAGAGAATTATTAACATGGTTAATACTGCCACACTCATTATTTTGTTAAATTACTAATTTTGTTACAAAATGCAAATTTAATGATTCATGATTAACTTTCAAAACAAAATTATTAAAATATGATAATTTTCAGAATTAAAACAAATAAAAAATATTGGAACTATACTTTTCACCAAAAGAAATAAAAAAATTTAAAAATGTTTTTATTCTAATTTTAAATAATGCAGCCTAATTGGTTTTTATCTATAATTTTTCAAAATATTTTTTTGAAAACAGTAAAAATTTCTTTTTAACAATTTTTTCTGTCTTTCATGGCCATAGCTATGTGTTACCAAATCGAGAAAACGTAGATTTTAGAGTAGAATTTAATCAATTTAATTACATCTTAAAAGAATAAGATGAAAATCAGAATGTCTTAAAACATTTTCAAGCTTTCTGAAAGCTTTCAAAACTCTCTTAATAATGTTATGATCAAGTAATAATTTGTTTTGGGATTGCAATCATAAAAGGCAAGTCAATGCTTTGAGCTGAAACTAATTAAAATGAATAATACTGGTATCCCATTCGATTTTATAGGAAGTCCCTATGTTTTAAAGATTGGAGCACTGCCAGATGCAAGCAAAGTACGTGTTAGTGGACCTGGTGTAGAACATGGCATTCTTGCAACATTTCAGAGTCACTTTTTAGTTGAAACAGATGGAGCAGGAGCTGGTAAACTCACTGTACGCATACGAGGACCTAAAGGTATGATGGAGGACATTAAAAATTGTATTTATTAAAAATGTCCTACCTATTTTACTTAATTAACATTAAACTATAAATGGAATATTTAAAAAAAATATTTGGAGCAGCAATTATTTTGTTAACTGCAATTAAATGTATCTGTAATCTACATCATTTTTTAATAGAATTCACATGAAAAGCTCTGTAATTTCACCATTTTTCTCATTGACTTCTATTGGTTAAATTTTACATATCTAAAACTTAATATAAACTTTTGTTTTCTATTCCTGATGAACCAATTAAAGTCAGTTTGAAATTAAATTCATAAGACAGTTTTGCTTTGATGAAACAAAAGAAAAAAGCTTGCATGCATACCTAAATTGAATCATTTTTCTATTTCAGGTGCATTCCAAGTGCATATGTCTCGTGAAAGTCAACGAGATCGTAAAATAGTCTGTCATTATGATCCATTTGAAACTGGTCTGTATATAATCCAAGTGAAGTGGTCAGATATAAATGTACCTGGAAGCCCTTTCCATGTTCAGATCGTGGACACACATCAGGAATATGAGGCTATTTCACAAGAGGCTTTGTCTCTTCATAATGGGTATACCTATTCTGAATCTCTACCTCACAGGTCATCATACAATCAATGGAGAGAAGATATCTAACAAGATAATTATGAAAAAATAAACATAGTTTCAAATCAATTTGAAGAGAAATCAAGTTTATCAACTTGGATGTAGATGAAAATCTTAACTGCTTGCCTTCTGAAATAACAAACATTGCTTTATTAGATTTTATGAGCAAATCAAAATTATTATTGTATTAGCAGTAACCCAACAGGAAACATATACCTAAAAATATTTCAGAGCATTTATACTCTTATCTATAATATCCAATACACTAGCTTACTATATATACCTTATGTATTACTGCTAGATACTGTAGTTGGTAGAAATTCTTTTGTATTACAAGTCTAACAATGGTTTTGGTGAAAATTTCTTGCTTTCAGTACAGGATAATACTGTATGTCAATTCAGATGTTGAATTTCTATAGTTTTTTTTTTTTTTAAATATCTTTGTCTACATATTTAATCCCAGATTATTTTTGAAAAGCCAGAAATAATTTTACAGACTATTTTTATCCAAATTAGGGAATTTGACTTCAGCACTAAAATGCATGTGGTAGATCTGAATACTAATTGATACTACTAAGCTGTTTCAAATTTAATGGAAGACATTCTTACATTCCACTCTTCTTCAAACAAAAAGTCACAAATATTACAAAAATAAAAACATTTCATAGAAAAGCAATTCATTTTTCAATGTTTTGTGCTGTTTTAAAGTGAAAACTCCCAGTTCAGTAAAAATCAATTTACTGAGAAAAAAAAAAAGTAAAATTTTCATCTTAATAGTTTTTCAAGTTATTTTATTTAATTGTATATGATAGCTTTGATTTATTTTAATGGAAAATAAATTTTGTTGAACAAAATAAATGCTTGAAATTCATATTTACATATCTTATTGACTATCAGATATCTTCAAATTTAAGTACCTCTACCAATATATATTGGCAATGGAGATTTTTTTTAACAAAATTGATTCAGAATCTCTTTCATAATACTTGATAATAGAACAATACCTACATTATTTACATTATTCGGACTATTGTCCTCATCTTTATCGCCATATTTATTACAACGTTTCGGCTGTTGTACACTCCGGCCTTCTTCAGGTGGTTGGAATGTTGGAATGTTGAACTTAACCCTTTATTTCACTCACTGGGGTAGACTGTTCTAGTTTCATGTGTCATGTTTAATTTATCTCCTGTTAATTTCCCTCTGAAAGTTCTCCATTGCCTTGACCGGGTATTGAACTAACACTCTTTGGGTCCTGTCACTGGATCTAGCCAATGCCTTTATCCACTCTGCCATGTGTCCTTAACAGGAGATAACTGATAACTGACATCCATTAAACATGGCACGTGGAACTAGAACAGCCTACCCCAGTAAGCAAAATAAAGGGTTAAGTTCGACATTCCAACCACCTGAAGAAGGCCGGAGCGTACAATGGCTGAAATGTTGTAATAAATATGGCGACAAGACAGATACAGAACAATACCTACAAGTTTGAAAAAAAAAAAAAAAAAAAGAATCTATTTTTAATACTCATTGCCACAATTAGAGCAAACATTTACTTTTTTGATGATATGAATATAAAAAATAAGCATTTTCAATCAATCTTTTACAATTTCAGTTTTATTTACAATAAGATCGATGTACAAATATCTTCATTTTCAGCAACTTCATTTGATTTTAAAGAAAGTCTAGATTTAGCTAATGTTGAAACGCATCAACTGATTTGTATAAAATTTTATGTAGAGTCTATACATTGCCCAAATTTCTGTTTTAAACATCAGGTTATCAAAGAAGAATATGTTAGATTTAATAAAAAAAGAACAATCAGGAAATACCATTATCTTTAGCTTTATTTTTTACAAAAATTTAATTATAAGTTTAATGAAATCTATATATTATTAAAGTGATTGATATCAGTAAGAATATATATATATATATATAACACACACACACATTACAAACTGTTACAACTATATTTCTATATGGTCACAAAATTTTCCCTTTAAGATTACTTGATATCTTTTATTGAAAATAACATCAGGATATTAAACAACAGTAAATATATATAATAAAATAATTCACATAAATGCATAAAAAAATATAGGAGAAGGTAAAGGAAAAAAATAAGAAACATGTCAATATCCCTTATAGAGGTATATTGGCATGTTTCTTCCAAGGATTGTTTAACCTCTTATTGGCCAACATTTCCAAATCCTGACAGATGCGATAACGTGTTGTACTAGGCTCAATTATATCATCAACAAAACCTGTAAAATAAAAATGATAATTTAGAATTATTTAATAAAGATTAATTCCAGCTTACAAAAAATAAAAACTCATAGAGCTGCAAAAAATCTGGGTTAATTTGCAGTGTAACACCCACACTCAGTTCGCATTAAAAATTTCCAAAAGTCTTACATTTATGTGTAGTTGTACATGCTCCATTCGAATCTGGCTTGATAAATTTGATAAAATCTACCGTTTTGGAGTTATCGACAGTGAAAGTTTGGATTCATTCGCATTGTGGGCAGCCATTACGGGCGTTGTTTGCATACATTCACTGCAGAATAGGTATCATTGCGCAAACTGAACGCGACTACGTAAATATTTCTCGTGCACAGTAATTGCGACAAATTTAGACAAGAAAGATCACTTCCGAGCTTAGCTTTCCATAGTCTTCTACATATAGCTTTCTGCAGTGAATGTATGCAAGCAATGGCAGCTGCCAACGACGTGATTGAATCCCAAATTTCACTGTCAATAACTCCAAAATGGTAGATTTTATCAAGCCAAATTCGAATGGAGCATGTATTTTGGAAATTTTTAATGCAAACTGAGTACAGGTGTTACACTGCAAATTAACCAAAATCAGAACAAATACTAATGAGATTTATAGAAGAAAAGTTAATTAGTGGTTCATTTATGAGAATAAAATTCCAAAGGATCTATTAAAATATTACCACACTCACCTCTTGTTGCAGCTGGAAATGGATTGGCAAATTTTTCTACATATTCAGCTTCTGCTTGATTATCATCACCACGGAAAATAATTTTCACAGCACCCTAAAAAAGTAAAACAAAAATATCACAAATAAATGTAACAGATCTTTGTAATTTTCAAAGGAATAAACAAAATTTTATCTACTGCAAAATGATAAAATGTTTTGTTTTTCCTTTTAATTGAATAGATTAAATATTCAATATGTTTACAATGATCTCAATATAACCAAATTTTGATTTTGTCTTAGTTAAACAGGTTTTTATATCTGCCACTATAAAAAATAAAAAATACTATGTAGATAAATTGTTTTACTATGTGTAAATGACTGAAATTAAAATGATAGTTTATACATTTTTCAAAAATAAAATTAATATATACTTTTGTAGCAAAAATTAATTGAATTTTGCTGAAATAAAACATTTTCAATTTAATTAAAGTACTGTTAGTAAATGTTTGAAAAAGAAGGACAAAAATCTTAGTTTTATTTCACAATGTTTACATTCTATTTCTATCACTCTTAAATGTAGTTAGTTTTCTTTCCATGGAAATCAGATATTATATATGCTGGCAAAAATAAGTTTAAGACTAATGGTTAAAGTTTTATTCATTTCAGAATATGTTTCTAATAAAACAATATAAATTAGATTTATTGTGTACACTTTATGCAGAATCTATTTCTCTTCTGAATCATGTAAAAATTGTATATTTTTCTACAACTTGAAAAATTTTAATGCTGGATTACTATAAATTATATAAATTTATATTGTTTTATCAGAAACATATTCTGAAAGGAATAAAACTTTAACCATCAGTCTTAAAACTTATTTTCACCAGTGTAAGTGAGTGCTGAAAAGTTTGAAACCCAACCAAGATGGGATTCTTAAAATAATTCTGATATTTGGTCAGATTTTGGGAAGCCAAGAACTTTTCAAAACTTTCTTACAAAATATGTTCTTTCATTAGAAATAATGTTTTATTTTTAATGAAAGAACAAATAAAATAAATAAATAAAATTTTGAAATAAGTTAATCCAAAAGTAATTGTTTTTCAAATAACATTGTGATCTTGAAGCAGTTACCATCCTGATACACTATAGAAACTCAAAACTACAACAGCATATATCTGTTTTAGCTGATACAAGATTTCCTCTCTCAACCAAAAGGAACATTTAATGATAGCCAGAGAGTACATATCCGAAATGGCTTTCTAATAATGTCTAAAATAACCAAGATGAGAACAAATCAATGTATAATAGTATTAGAATTTGATCATTTTCCTTTCCAAACAATAAAAAAAGTTATTGCTTACATTTAAATATATAAGAAGTTAACAGAGAAATAATTTTTATTTTACTATAATTCTAAGTTCTTAGACTGCAAAACAGAACTACTACTTAGGGAATGAATGATAAAACAATTTTTGGCAAACATGGACCTTCATGCCCGCAAAAAATACAGAGTCAAAAGGAAAATTTTTCACATGACACTAATTTTATTTTAACTACCTTCTCTCTGTGGAAATGCTTATTGTTTAAAAAGTGATGATTAGAATTGTAATAAACTCTAAACATGAATAAAGTGGATTTATACATTATTTTTTGCTCTTGAGAATTTACAACAAAATTATTAAACATTATTTATTATATTGTTTTTTTTACAAAAATAATTTTATATTTACAGCATTCTAAAAACAATACCAATTTATAAAGAAATAAATATGAAAATTTTTTATTCTTAAATTTAAAAACATTTACTAAATTGTTAAAATATATGAACAAACTATAAGTAAATCCTTATTATTTACCATTTTATAAAGTTCAAAACAATTGGCAATTAGCTAATGCTTTGTCAACCATTCCAATAAATAAATAGTGTTTATTATTTTTCTTATCAATTCTCAAAAACTAAGAAAATGTATAAATTCACTTTCATGCTTAGGTTTTATTATAATTCTAATTGTTGCTTATTAAAATAATAAAAATGGCTGAAGAATGAATGTAGTTAAAATAAAAGCAGTGTCATGAGGAAAACTGTACTTTTGACACACTGTTTTTTTTCTTTGGGAATGAAGGTCCATGTTTGCCATTTTTTTAATTTAATGTAACAAATCCTAATTTTTTTTTTGAGAATTCACAAATTAAAGCTCAAAACTAGTAATATATAATTACAATAAAATGAAAATTGATGTAAAAGTCATTATCCTACCATGCTTTATGAAAATGAAAGGAATAAAGAACTATTAAAAAATATGTAGCCAAAAATTTATTATTACAAAATGTATTATTTTTTTTACCTTAGCTCCCATTACTGCAACTTCAGCAGTTGGCCAGGCATAGTTGACATCTCCTCGCAAATGTTTAGAACTCATAACATCATAGGCACCACCATAAGCCTGAAAGGAGCAAAAAACCTTCAGTAGTTTATTTTCATTTGAAGTAATCTAATGTATAGAATACACTTGGTTTTATAATAATGCCTTATCTATGTACATATATTTGAGTAATAAAATAATAATGTTGAAAACAAAATCTAATCATAAAAGCTGATTTTAAAAATAATGAATTTTTAAAAGATTTTAGCACTGGAGACATATTTTATGTAAAAGATTTATGTTAAAATAAGTTAAAATAATAGTTTACCTTCCTTGTGATCACAGTCACTTTTGGAACAGTTGCTTCAGCAAAGGCATATAGTAATTTAGCACCATGTCTAATGATGCCACCATATTCTTGATTTGTACCTAAAAAATATTTTGCCAGTAATCAAACTCTATTTAATAATTTTACTTTTAGATTTCTAAATTTCCATCTGCAAAGTATAAAACTAAATCAAACAAAATAAAAACTGAAAAGAATATAAAAGTAACTTCAATGTTTTTTGGAGATTAAATTGATAATTATCATAGTGTTTTAATCAAAACTTTCTTCTAAAAAATTTTTTTTTATTATTATTCAGTAAAGTTTTATTAAAAAAAGAAACTGATCTGCAATTACAGAAAATAAAAATATACAAAAATGACAAATTGAAAAATCTTTTTCCTAGGGTAATATTTTAATATATTTTTGAATCATAACATTTTGGAGTTTGGTGAAGATCACAGAGTACAAAAAGAATGAACAACATTACATTTAAGAAAATATTGTTATAAACAGATATAAAGAAAATTAACCTACCATTCTTTTATTCAATAATATTTTTTTAAAAAAAAGAACATTTTAAATCAAAACTATTTTTCCTTCTAGAATTTTGATTATTAAGCAAAATATTTAAATGAAAAGTTTGTTTTGTCATTAGATGACAATAGGAGTGTTTTTTTTAAATTAACTTCATTAAATATAGAATGCATTTGATTGTATTGTGATGGGTGAACTTAAAAAATTATTTGAATAAAGTGAAACACAAAGAGACAATAGGAAAAGTACTGTGAATGATTGAATGTGTCAACAATCATTTGCAAAGTTTCAAGTTTAATGTTGAAGATTTCTTGCAGAATGAAGTTTCATATCCAGGTAGACCAGGAGACATTGATAGTAGGCGCATGAAGGATATATAACACTGGAGATAGTCAATAAACTGAGTTTTGAAAATCATTTGCACTAGGTTGGTTATATTATTTTGATGTGTGGTGTTCACATAAGCAAATAAATAAATAAAACCTATTTTTGAAGTCAATTGACAGGTGATGAAAACTTGATATTTACAGCAATACAGAATGCAAGTGATAATGAGATAAGCAAAATGAATGACCACATTAAACAAGGTGATGCTATCTATATGATAAGGCTATGAGCTCCTAGAGAAGCAAACTATAAATTCCCACCATTTATTTGAAGGGAATATTAGTTACCTCATCAACACAGCCTTTTGTAATAAGATTCACTTTTTCCTTCGTTATGTTGGTTGCCATTTGAAGTTGACAGTGAACTGGCAGTGTCCTACAAGTTTCCCCACAGAAAGAGAATAATTCCACTGTGTAATGATACCAAGTACGTCAGCAACCATATTTCCCAGTTTACACATCAAGATGCTGTGCTTCCCAGACATCCAACTGTTCTGTCCAGGCAAACCTAGCTTTGACACACATTTTTTTTAATCATTTTACCCCAAGCAATGCAATAAAGCCACTAAGACACAAGGAGTTATTGACAGTGAAAGAATCTGGAAAAAAGTATTATTGAGGAGAGAGGACAATAAAAGGAAAGGATTCAAAGAGACAGATGATGACTGACATTGCATTTAAACTTTTGAAGATCAAAGTTGATTGGAAAGCAAGAAGATGGAAAAGAGTTCAACAATCAAGGAGTGTGAGAGAAGAAAATGTTAACATAAAACTTGTGGTTACATCTAGTAATTTCAAATGAAAAGTGATGAGACCTAACTGCCAATCTAGAACTGTGCTTAAATTCATAAAGAAAGCCCATCAGAACACTTACCATGAAAATATAAAAGGCATGAGAAATCTAGATTATGGCAATGGGAAAGTGACAATGTGACATCCAGCACCAATATGTGACATCCACTGGTCGTGATGTCAAGATATGACACTGCGCTGTCAGCCCGTGGTCAACTCCCAGTTGCGACGCGAAGCTCTAAGGTTTCTTCCACCAGCATTTTGGGGTGGACTCCTTGTTGCTGCCACTAGCCTGTGTCCCGGTCGATCTGGTCGTTTTTGGTTTGATACCAGCTTTGTCATTCCCAGCTCACTTCTCAACGTCTGGTTACCAAAGTAACTGCTTTGATCTCAAGTCTAACCTACCCATGTTGTGACTTTGATCTTAGGTAGACCAAATCAATCAGGCGTCAGGCCATAGTGCAAGCCAAATCCGGGGTAAAGGTGATACCGCACAAGCGTAAGTAAAAGAAAAATAATAAAACAAACTCAAGAGGTTCAAATATGTTGAGAAATAACAATTATCTTTATCTATCTGTTGAATACAGGAGTGTGTTCTTTCCCAGCCGTTTTCTATGGATTTTGACACTTTTTTTTGTTAATTAAGCCAACTGGTTATGGTATCTTAAGTTGTTTGTCAATAAAACTTGCTTTTGGTAGGAAGACTAAAAGATGAAAGGATGTGGAAATCTTTCGGTCAGCTTCTGCGAGGCAACACTTCAACTCCAACTTGAATATCTGGTCAACTCAACTGGAAAACTGAAACTGCAAAACTGTAAACTCTGCCTTGGGGACGTTTGTTTATATGGACACTGACAAAACTCCAGGATGGGGCCAGATGTGGTTTGGGTTTTTTGACAATCTCAATTCCCAACAAGAATTCTCTTTGTTCTTAGGCCAGGAAAATTAATTACTTCCCATTTTTGGAAAATTAATCACTTTCCATTTTGGGGGTTTCTCCTTCGTCTGTGAGGGAAGGTCAGAGGAGAGTTATCCTCCTAGACTCTTCCTCTCTCACATTGGTATCTCATACCAATCCCCTCAGTGGGTGTTAACAAATTCTCCATCTTTCTCATACATTCACCTCCGCCTTTCACCCATGCTACCAGTTAGCCAATGACATCTGGTCAGTGTGGGTGTGGCTTAGTCTGGCCCTCTTAAAATTATTAATCTAGAAATTTTTGTTTAAAAAATTCAAATTTTTTGTATCTTTCCTTTGGCCAAAATTCATTTACAATTCCCAGATTGCCAATTAATTAATCACTTCTTTATCACATCTGGTCTTTTCAGTTAAGTTAACTTTAAAATGGAATTCTCCACTGTTTAAGAAATTAAATTCTTTTATTCGATAAATCTAAATTCTCCACTATTTTCTGTCTCATCAAAACCAGATGCCCATTTGCCGATGACATCTGTGTCTGACATCAACAGTTTGAAAAAATAAATAATAATGATTTTTTCCAATTTCCTTTCTCATGCCAAGATTCTGACATACACCAGATGCTTCCTCTTTGCTGGGAACTCAAGAATTAAAATTAAATGATATCTTGAAAGATAATTAAAATCTATTCTCAGGGTGGTCCCAAGCCAAGTTTTCTCCATGGCCCATGATATCTTTTAGTTTTTTTGATTTTTTTCTGAATTCTGTTTTGTTTGCAATGCATTCCCTCCACAATGATATTAATCAATTTGACAGACCCACACATGGCTTTTTCACAGGATTTTCTGTCTTTTGTGAAAAGTATCTTTTTTTTGTAAATAAAATAAAATTCTTTTTTTAATGTTTGGAAGTCTATCTTTTGAGGTATAGCTTTTTTTTTTTTTGCCTTATGTATTTCCTTTTTTTTAATTTCTATGGTTAATTAGCCAATTACCATAGCTAAATAGTGTGACATTTATCCAGGATGCTTCTTCAAGACAAAACCAATTATGAATTAGATAGAAAAGGAAAAGTTTTGGGATTGTCTAAATCCCAGATGAAATTTTTTAGATTCATCCAAATTTTTTTCCTACTTCACGTTGCTCAAAAAGAAGATAAAATTGTATTTTGTTCAACAGTTTATAAAGATTAAAATTTCATTATCAACCCCGTTTGATCATTCCTCATTCAGTAACCTTTTCTAGGTTACAAATTTCAGTCAAACTTTCTCTATGAATATTGTGGAAGAAGTGGCCAGACCAGATTTTTTTGATTTTCAAACAAAGGAAAAATCACTAATAAATGTAGACAATAAACTGGCAAGATAAATAATTATCCTGAAGGAACTGCCTTTTGGGGGAACCCCAAAATCAATTGGCTTAAATTATTTGATACTATACAAAGATATATATATATATATATATATATAAAACGAGAACTGATGCCAAATAAAGAAATTATTTAGATCATTTACATGCTTACTATTGTCCTCATCTTTATTAATTATAAAATGTTTCAATGGATGGTATTTCTAATCTTCATCATTATTTATATTGATCCAGGTAAAAGTGGGAACCAAAAATTTCAAATCCTTTATATAATTTATAGATTGTTTTTTCAAAACTATTTGTTGTTAAAAGATATCTTGTCAAATATTTATTTTATACAGCTAGTTATTGAATCACTTCAAAACAGAGTCCATGCACACATTTAAAGAGGGATTTAAATCAGAATTATGTCAATAAATTCATGAAACAACAATTTAAACATATTTTGTATATGTTGACAGTTCAGTTTTTGGGACAAAATAACCTGATGATGGTCAAAACTAATGAAACAGTGTAATGATAACAACAAAGATATAGGACAATAGTTTGCATGAAAACAAACAATATCATCCTAGAAAGTCAGAGACTGCAAGAACATTTTTTTTTTCTTAACATAAAAGACAAATGATAAAATCAATTTTTAGTATATTAGGGAATACAACTCAGTTGAACATCAAAGTATAAAATTGCACTGTACAATTTCTTTAACAGCAAAAATAAACAAATAAATAAATTTGAAAAATAAAAATAGACACCTGAACAGATATGGGATATTTTATTGTAGAAAAAAAAAAAAAAAAAAAGTGGTTCTACTATTTTTAATACAGGCTTTTTGATTTGATGTGTGTTTCAGTTTCTTAAAGCAATAGTCCTACAGAAGAAATTCACCGTTCATTTATTTTCAATCAATTATTAATTAAAGTTTAAAACACTTATTCCATTATATCCATTTTCATTTATAAGGATGTAAAAAAAAAATAAAAAAAGAGAAAATGATTTGTTCATTTCAGTTCAGCATGACAATAAAATGGGAAATGGATTTTGTTACATTCCTAAAAAATTTTGCTCATCTGAATTAAATTCACTTTAGAGAAACAAACCCC